GATATATAGGATCATGTCATCTGCAAACAGGGACAGTTTGACTTCATCTTTTCCAATTTCATCTTCTCTAGTCCGGATGCCCTTTATTTCCTTCTCTTCTCTGATTGTTCTGGCTAGTACTGCCAACACTAGGTTGAATAGGAGTGGTGAGAGTGGGCATCCTTGTCTAGTTCCTGTTCTTAAAGGAAAAGCTTTCAGCTCTTCCCCATTGAGGATGATATTGGCAGTGGGTTTATTATATATGGCTTTAATTATGTTGAGATACTTTCCATCTATACCTAGCTTATAGAGAGTCTTTGACATGAATGAGTGTTGAATTTTATCAAATGCCTTTTCAGCATCTATAGAGATGATCATATGGTCCTTGTGGGGGATCCCTACCTTTAATTCTGATTTGTATTGATTGTGATTTCTGTGTCCACTGATTTTTTTTTTTTTTGTGTGTGTGTGTGTGTGCAGAGAAATAAATAGGAAGTGCATGATTTTAAAAAAATTTCCGTTTAGCTTTTTATAAAACTAATATCCGTTTTGTAATACAAATAATTACCAGATTTATCTGTTATGTAATTTTTGTTGCTTATCAGTACAGCACAACTAAAATATAAATGTTATCTACTTATGTATTTTAATATTTCATAATTCTTTGTGCATTGAGTGATACTTTTTTTGTATATTTGTATGTGATTGAATTAAAGTTGAGTATTTGAAAGGCTGTTATCAAACTTCAAACTTGATGGAAATTTTAATTGTTTAATTATAGTACATTTTGAAAGAATAATTTTTCTAATTTTTAAAAAATCAGTCCATCTATTTTGATGAACCAAATCCAGCACGAGCAAAAGGTTCCAGCCCAGAGGGATTACCAGACTGGGTAAAGGGTGAGCTGGAGACAAGTGAACACAAATTGAATGAATCATGGAAACTTTCTTCTGGAGAAAGCGCTTTGGTGCAGTCTCCAACTGATGGCAACAGGTATGCTATGAAATGAGATTTTGAATGTGTTTCATCATTTAGCCTATCTTTGGAACTAGTTCATAATTCTATTTTTCATTTTTTTTATGTTGTGGGGAGTAGATGGTTTACTTTGTGTTTTTGTTAAAGTTGAAGGCTATGAATGGATGTTGAGTAGGAAAAATAACAGTTTTGCTTTTCCATTTCCATTCAAGAGTACATTTTTATCCACTTTTATGGATATGTTAACTTTGTGTATATAATGCATTGCTTGGAAAGCGGTGCCTGAAAAACTTTAAATAACACAATTATGTGTTTTCCTTTATGACAAGCATGAATGAAGAACATTATCAAAATATAACACCCTGCATATTATTTTGAAGCTTATGTTTGAATTTCTTTCCTTTTCCCCTCATTGAACAGTATTTATTTTCATTTAATAAAATAATGAATGTAAACATAAACTCTATTAAACTGTGTTTTGTTTAAGTTTAAACAGGATTTTTAGTGCAAATGAAAATAAACTTCTAAATTTTCAAAATATACAAAAAGGCCGTTATTTCATAATTTTATAATTATAAATTATATGATTTTTGGCCTTTAGGAGAGATGGATTTAAAGTTGGACTTTTGTCAAATTTTTATTTTTCCCTTTGGCATTGTTCTGTGAAACGTTAAAATATTGGACAATGTCAATTGACATGTACCATATTTCATACTTCATTCCTCACCATTATCTTGGTAATTTTAATTTTAGGATTTTGTTTCTGTTAACAGTATAATCTTTATTGTCCACTATAATTGTTTTGATTTATTTCTTAATCAGATATAGACGTGTTATTAGTAATTTGAAATGTCTTCATAGTTGATATAGTCTGGTATGTGTTTTGCAGACCTAAGATATTATGGTGGACAAGAACAGATGAACACAAAGCAAGAGCTCCAGTCCATATGAAATTATTTCATAGAAAGGGGAAACAAATTAAAATGGAGAAGCAAAAAGGAAGAGGTGGTAGAATTAGGGACATATTCTGGGCTGAGCTTGTGGCGCACTCGGGAGAGTGCGGCACTGGGAGTGCAGCGACGCTCACGCCACGAGTTCGGATCCTATATAGGAATGGCCGGTGCGCTCACTGGCTGAGCGCGGTGTGGGTGACACCACGCCAGGGGTTGCGATCCCCTTACTGGTCACGAAAAAGACAAAAAAAAAAAAAGAATTAGGGACATATTCAGAAGAGTAAAAAGAAATGAATAGAGGACTCCATAGGAGGTGGTGTTAAATACTTTTACATCCTTAGGAGACTTAAAATTAGAAGATGTGTAACTGTAAAATTTTGTTAGCCTTATAGGCAGGTAAATGTAAAGAGATTGTGGTCCGTATACAAAGAAAAATACAATTCTTAGTTTGGCTGCAAAATCTATCAGTTGTTTGCCAAATACTTTTTTAAGAGTCCAGCCAGCTAAATTCTGGGCTTTTTCTAGGTGTAATGAATATGAAGTTTACAGTATTAAGGTAGACTAAAGTAGTTTCCTGTGTCTTGGAGCTTAGATCAGAGGTTGAAAACTGATGTTCTTCACTGAATGAATCATGTGGGTAGATTTATTTTGTTTGACCTACACAGTGTCATTAAAGATTTTTGAATGACTCGTCAAGATTAACAATTGGGGAATTTCATATCAAAATCTAATTTTCTGAATTCTCTTAAAAATTGGAGACGTAGCAATCTTTCCAGAAGACAGCCATAGTTTGGAACTAAATAATTCTGGTGACCCCCTTAATGTAGTATGACTTCACTATTTCTTGCTATTTCCTGATGGTAAATTTGAGGTTAGTTGCATCCATTATTGAGTTGAGCTTTTTTTCTTTTTCTTTAAGTAGGGTTAATATGAAAAGGAAGTATTTGTTTTTCTATATCTGTACTTATCAAAAATAGAAAAAAGGTAGAAGAGGGATCATGTGATCAAAGAAGAAGAGAGAGACTATGTCTTCGTAGAAATGAAGAATATCGTTACATCTGGCAGCATAATCACTCACTTGTTACCTAAGTCCTACTGACAATGATTTTTAACTGTTGTTTTCGATAAATGGGGGAGAGAGATAAGTACACAGATAATTTTAACACAGTGATCATGTGTAGTGGTGAAAGTATTTGCAAAGATTGGGGTGTGTATAAGAGAAAGGTTCAGGATAGGAAATAGCCTTGAGATTTCCAGGGAGTCCAGGTGAATGGACTTGTTCTTTCTCAGAGCATAGGATGAAGATTGAGAAATACAACATAGGATAAGATAGAGAAGAGTTAATAGTATCCTTCAACTACTACTCATGACTTTTCTGGAAAATGAAACCATAGTAAAATCCCCACAATTTTGACAAATAACTTATTTTCTCTTCATTGGTCACCTATAATTAAATGGCATTTTAATGCAAAAGAATTACTTAAGTATGAGGCATTAGTTATCAGTTATATACTAAGTAGTAGAGTTTGGATGTGTTGTCCCCATCAAAACTCATGTGGGAATTTGATCCCCAATGTGACAGTGTTGGAAGCCATTTGAGTCATGGGGGTGGATCCTTCATGAATGGATTAATGCTCTCCCTGGGGGAGGAGGGGTAGTGAGTGAGTTCTCACTCTATTAGTTCCCAAGAGAGCTCATTGTTTAAAAAGACCCTGGCACCTCCTCTCTCTCTCTTTTGCTTCCTCTCGCCATGTGATCTGCTTGTACCCACTGGCTGCCTGCCGCCTTTCTTCCATGAGTAGAAGCAGCCTGAGGCCCATGCCAGATGCAGCTGTCCCAGAATCGTAAGCCAAATAAACCACTTTTCTTTATAAATTACCCAGTCTCAGGTAGTTCTGTTATAGCAATACAAAACTGACTAATACACTAAGTAATTAATCGGAAGAGCAGGCAGTCTTGTGATTCTGGTCAGTCCTACCCCTGCTTCAGATATCATGACTTCAAAAAAGCCTTACCTGACATCCCAGGCCAGTTTAGGTGACCCTGTTTTTTTACTCCTGTAGTACTCTGTGTTTCTTTGTTACACTCATTATGTGTGTGCAAAGGTTTAATACCTGTCCTTTGTGCTAGAGTGTAAATTTCATCTGCACTGTGTTTCTGTCTCCTAGCAGATTTTAGCAACTTCATAGTATTCATATTTGCTGAGTGCATGCATCCATGAATGAATGAATGGATTGTGTTAGGCTCTGCTACATATTTAATTTAACCTGTACAAAAGCCCTTTGAGACAGGTATTTTGTGGCAGAGGGAGTGGCCCAAAAGGATTTTTTTTTAACTTTTATGAACAGTTGAGGGAAGGATAAATTTTAGAAAATGTTGGAGGAAGCATGGACATAGGTTATAGAAATGCCCTTCACATACTGTGACGATTATGACAGTGAAGGAGCGGGAAAGGACGTACTTAAGTATCTTTCTGGTCAAAGTCAGAATATCACTAAGGCCAGTTAGGGCTGCAAAAACAAAACTTCTCAGGGTATTTTTAAAAAAATTTCTTCTAATTTAATAATTTGGCATATCTTAAAATTAAAGTTTGATTTAAAATACACATGTATGCTAATTAACAGATATTTATAGTTTTACATATATGAAGGCATTTAAAAAATAAAACTAACATTTCCTTTAGCTATAGCCAACAAAATTAGTTATAAGGTCAAATATATAATGTGTGATATCAGATCAGAAGTAGTGAATAGTTTATTAACGGTGCTGTCTTCGTATTTCTCTTCTAAAATTGCTCCTTTACTCTGCGTGGTCATACTGTGCTAGTGAAAAAGTTAGTATCTGCTAATGTTGACCTAATATATCTAAACAGTTCTGCAAGAAATTGTTTTAAAAACTTTAAGAGGCTTATGATATTTGACACATGTATGTTTTTATAGTGAATAATTTATTGTTACTTAGAACTGAAGTTTAATGCTGCCTCATAAATTTTACAACCACTTCAACTTGTCCTTTGAAAAACCTCTTTAATCTTAAAAGACTTTTCCCCCTTAGTGTTTCTTTTTTGATCACTTTATAAAATCCTACTTTACTTAGACCTTTTTGTATGTGGAGTATTTCTAATGGCATTTTAGATTATGCTGTTTGTGTCCTAGCCCTTTTATATTATTAAAGATGCAGAGTCCTACTGCAGCCTTTTTGTTAGGACTCCCTATTCAGTAGAGCTGGCACCTTTCCTTTTCTTTATTCTTACTGTAGGATATGGTATGTAGCCTGGTTCCGAACTCGTTAGAAGTATTATGAGGTCATATTTTATCTGGCTTATTGTCATTTTTTTCTTTTTTCCACCAAATATACATTATGTACTAGTATACTTACCATTTCACACTAAACAGCTTCATCATGTAGCTAGCCCTGTCCTGGTTCTCTTGCTTTCCTTTTTCTTATTTCTTGGTTTAAGATCATGTTATTACCCATGTTTTCTTTAAAAAAAAATGCTGTTCCAAATTGCATTGCTGTTTTGTTATAGATCTGTTATTGCATTTTTATGTCAAATATCTGCCTATTTTCTCGACAATGAAATATTTTAGATATATTTCGAGTTTGGAGCATGACATAAAATGTTACTAAGGAAACCATCATAGACTTAGATCTCATCCATGTATACTTTACATGGATTAATTAGTTCTACAATCATGAGGCATATCAATATGTATTACCTTTCTGGTTATTCTTCAGATGCTTACCATTGAGATCTGGTAAAGACCTTAATTGTTTTGTGGTAGACAGACTTTAAGGTGGCGCCCACGATCCTCCTCCTGGTGTTCACATCCTTATATAATTCCCTCCCCTTGAGTGTGGCAGGACTTGTGGCTTGCTTCTAACCAATAGAATATGGCAGTGGTGATGGGATGTCAATCCTAGGACTTAATTACATTATATAAAACTCCATCTTGCTAGCAGACTTGCTCTAGAGTCTTGCTGTCCTTCATTTTGTTGGCTTTGAAGAGGCAGCTGCCATGAGTCATATAGCAGTAAGGAACTGAATGCTGCTGACAACCACAC